ACAGATTGCAAGCCTTCTCCTTCTCCAGCGGACACCACATTTCAGTTGTCCAAACATGGTGACACCTTTGATGATCCATCATTATTTAGGAGCATTGTTGGCTCTCTTCAGTATGCGACCATTACGCGACCAGAGATCTCCTTCTCAGTTAGTCGTGTTTGCCAATACATGCAGAATCCTACATTAGATCATTGGAAAGCCGTGAAACGGATCCTTCGCTATCTCAAAGGCTCCCTTACGCATGGTATCTCCATCACTCCATCCACTTCATCTAGTATACATGTCTATTGTGATGCAGGGTGGGCTGCTGATCCTGATGATCGTCGTTCTCATCATGGCTTTGCTGTATATTATGGTCCTAATCTAATCAGTTGGTCCTCACGGAAGCAAAAGGTAGTAGCTCGGTCCAGCACTGAAGCTGAATATCGTGCCATTGCATTTGCCACATCAGAAGTATCTTGGATAGCTAGTTTGATCAAGGAACTCCGATTACCTTGTCCTTGTCCTCCTGTGATATTCTGTGATAACATCAGTGCCATTTATCTCACTGTCAATCCTGTCTTTCATCAAAGGTCGAAGCATATTGAAATTGATTATCACTTTGTTCGCGAAAAGGTTGCTCGTGGCCAGCTTTGTGTTAAGTACATTCCTTCCACTGATCAAACTGCTGATGTGTTCACTAAAGCTCTAAGCTCCCCTTGTTTTGCTCATCTACGATCCAAGCTCACTGTCTCCAAACCCGACATGTGCTTGCCGGAGGGTGTTAGATGACAATAAGTCTTCTATGTAAACTCAACATCCTTTATTGATTAGGATAGCTCTTTTCTATTTGTATTCAAACTCTATCATGTACATCATCAATATATATATATATATATATATATATATATATTATGGCAGCCTTGGTTACCTGCAGCAGTGACCAAGTTTCTGTCCTCTTCCTTAAGTTTCAATTATATAATAAGAGAAAAAAAGATAAATACCTAATTTCATATATGAATATTGTTTTGTTGACAAAAAAGAACCAAATAATTGTTAATAAATTTTCTTCCCAATTTTTCACTAATAGATGAAGAATGAATAATCTAAGCAGCTGCTAAAATCAATTAGTTTGCCTTTTCACCTACTATGGCTTCCTTTCTACCACTCTTCTATTTCTTATTCGAACTTTTTCTTATTTATTTATTATTATGTTTATAGAATTTATATTTATATTTTTACACTTAAATGTTCTTAACATAATATTTGCTT